AAAGGTAATGGATGGAGGATAGATAACACAAAAGGGTAAGGCAAGAGTAAAAAAAACTGTGCTTGAGATTGACTAACACAGGACAATGGATCAGAACTCCAAGCCTGAAAAAGAGAATCCAGAATTTGAGAGTTCACAAAATGGGCTTCAGCTCAATTGTAAGACAATGCATATGTGCAACCAGTCGAGAAGGACAAGGCATACTGGCACCAAAGTGAAGTTGAGACAAAAAAATTGTCAGCATGGACTCAGATTTCAGTGGAAGGATGAAAAACAATATTCTGAAAAATAAGCCAAATGAAGAAGGGGAATTAAAGAATAATATGAAACAGTTCAGAGTGAAAAAAAGTAATATATATTTGATAGACTGTTTAAGCAGAGTATTCATGATGAAACTGTGTTGAATGAATTGCAACTGCCTGTTGTAGAAACACAAGTGTTGAGGACAACATTTCAAAAGTCTTCCACCTTTTGTTTTCAGGTCAGTGTGTGTGTGTGTGTGTGTGTGTACAGTGTAGTGGTCTTTATAGTATTCTGGTGGATTGAGGAGTGCTATGATTGGTTGTTTTATCCCTGTTTCTGGTTGGAGGAGAGATTTCCTATAGATCCAACCAATGGTAGCCACAGGTTACTCATGTCTAATCTGGTATCTCTGTTTAGTGAAGGTTTAATTGTGTTAATATAAAATGTTTCTTTAATTTTTCTTGTCTTCCAAAAGACAATCTGTGTTGATTATTCTAGTTTTTTTCCAGTTCAAATAAGATAACTGAAAGGAAAAGTCATGAAAGATTGCAGAATGTCAAGATAGATCTGTATCTGCATTGGAAGAATTCTTTGCAAATTTAAGAAGCAGGAAAAACACTACTTAACCCTTTAACTACAGGCAGGTTTAATGGTACATGCCATAACCTTTTAAGAGATATTTTCAAAATTTTACTAAATATCTTTACTGTTGTAAATGTCAATGGAATTGACATCAAAACACAGCTTATAATTCAAATTTTAATATTATATCTGTTTTAATTTCTTAGTTTAGAAGGAAATATAAAGAAAAAAATGCTAAATTTCAATTTTTGTTTGTCATATAGCACCTCCTATTGTCTTATTGCTCAGTATGTATATTATTATACCTACCATACAGTGTTTACAATGGTTAACAAATTAGAAACTCAATTTTAAGACATAGATAAGATAGAATATAATATAAGACCCTATCACCTCTTTGATTTGCTGAGATGACAATATACACAGCGTGGTCACAAGTAAACAGACACCACCTTTTCAAAAAAAATACAATTTTTCAGTCATATTCACATGAATTGATATATTTATAATTTAATTAATATCTAGCAGATCTTCCTTTTGCTTAGTGGAGTTCGTTAATCATTTGGGGCATCGTGAGAATCATCTCGTCAATTTTAGATTGTGGGATTTTCGCCCACTCGTGCTTCAAAACTTGGAGTAGATCACTTTTTGAAGTTGGTTTTTTTTGGTTGTTTCTTGACTTGCCGGTCGAGTAAGGCCCAGAGGTTTTCGACAGGGTTCATGTCAGGAGATTGGCTCAGCCAAGGCAACTTCTGTATACCATTTTCTT